GCAGTTATTTTGTTACAATAGAGATCTCCAGGGTTACTGCATCAGACATCAAACTGGTGCCTTGGAAAGAAGCAAATCAGCACCCTGGCCTGGCTAATACTTAGAGAAAACGTTTAGATAATGTTAAATAAAAACACAATATTTAAAGAAAAGTAAGTTAAAGTGAGATTTCCTTTCTGCCCACAACCAGTATAAAGGTTAATAGCCTACTAATTTGATCACAGTATAGGATATTAGAATCCTGGGCAGCTATGAGGAAGTAACCTCATGACCATGGGTGATGAGATGACACCTCAATTTCTACACTTCTATCAGATATTCAAAAATGAATATGAACTGAAACATCTATATTATTACATTATCACAAATATAGGGTCATTTCTGCATAATTGCAATTTGCTGTGGAAACTACTGATCAGAAATCATTGGAATAAAACCTGTACAGTGGTGTCTTGGTGCTTGACTGCTTCAAAACTCATTGAATTTGGTACTTGATGCTGCAAAAGGAAGCAGGGGTCAGCCACAGAGGGCAGATGGTCATGCTAGGAAGGTTGCTAACATATGAAAAGAGACAAATAGGAATTTCTTTCTGGTCGAGTGATAAGTCATATGGTTTCTTTGGTACTCATCCTTTTTGTAATTGTTGTGCTTCCCCGAACCAATTAAGGATGAGTATTGAGGTATCACTAGTTGAAAACTGCACTCTGGAATGTCTAGAAGGATTCTCTTTCATTCAAATCATACTAGTGCCATAGCAGTCTAACTGAACTCAGTTAGAACTGAAAAAGCTTCTTGGATGAAAATCAAAACTTTTTCAATAGAAAAAAAAAAACAAGAAAGCCAAGTTGCCTTTTGGAAAAAGCATCTTTGCATTCCAGGATGCTTTAAAACTAAATCAGAAATCCTTAAATAAAATATCATATACTTGAAATAAATGTGAGGGTCAGTAAAATGCAAACCCTAAAGAAAAGGGATTATTATTTTATCACTGGGAGGATAAATTCAGTGTTTGATATCAGGTGTCTACTTAGTAAGTCAAAATTTTTATTTTGAGGCTGTACCGATCCACTTAATGAGTGTCCAGAAATTTTACGTAGCAGTCACTATAAAAAAGAAATTTACTTGTGGATATGTTTCCAGAAACTTTGTTATATGGTTCTTAAGTCCCACTATATCACAGTTCAGCTATACTAAATTATAGGAGTTTGTCCATTCTACTTTAAAACTAAGAGGCATTCTACATTTATGAAAGAGGATTGATGATTTATGAAAGAGGATTGTCATGGTCGGACCACTTCCTACTGAAGCTCGACTTTCGGAGACCAATCCCCCACTGTAGGGAGGAGGAGCCGATTAGGTGGTTCCACCCCAGGCGCCATATGGATCCTCAGACGGCGCTTGATGTTGTGCCTGATACTCTCGCCCGCAGTCCGGTGGAGACCTTAGTTGCTGCTTGGAACTCAGCAGCATCTGAGGCTCTCCACCGGATTGCGCCTTTATGGCCGATCCACGGCAGTGGATCCAGGAGGGCTCCTTGGTTTACCGAGGACCTCCGGGAGATGAAGCGCCAAAAGAGACGCCTAGAGCACCGCTGGAGGACCAGTTAATCCGAGTCAGACCAAGCATTCATAAAAGCCTGCATCGGAGCATATCTATCGGCATTACAGACAGAAAAGAACAACCACATTGCCGCTCTGATTGCGTCCGCTGAGTCCCGCCCTGCCACCTTGCTTAGGGTGACCCGCTCCCTCTTAAACACGAGGGTGGGGAACCCTTTACAAGGTAGAGCAGAGGAATATGTCCAGTTCCTCGCGGACAAAGTTGCTCGGCTTCGGATGGACCTGGACTCCAATTGCACAGAGCCAGCCAAGGTACCGGGGGAAGGTCTTGAATGACACCTCTGGACTGATTTTC